GGCATTGATTTCAGAGCCAAAAGAGGGACAAATGCTGTTACAGTACATTGTGCTCAACCTGTTGAGTTCTTTGCCACAGGATATCATTGAGGCCTGTTGTGTGGCTGGGCTTTCAGAAGGACCAGGGAATTACTTGACCTCAGCTCTTTTAGAAACTGCTACAGAGAGGGTAAAGAGATTTTATAAATTAGAAGCAAGTGGTGCCAGATTAAAGTGTGATTCATTAAAGAAGCTAGCAGTTATGGTATGCTTTATGCACACCGAAACRACACTTTATTAAATGGAAGTGCTGGTCTCCAATTCTCACTGATCTTGATACAGTCTCAAATTATGCATCATTAACTGAGACATCAGCAGCTAATGCTATAAAACTGTTTCTTTGCAAGATAGTTGTAAATATTTTCAYAAATGTGACCCAAACTATATTAACCCTAGCAAAAAATGTGGCCAGAAAGATCATGTTCAGCTGCTTCACCTGTCTTACCTAGATAGTTGTTGGAAAGAGGCAAAGTAGACAGGGAAAATACAAACTGTGCAAGTTGGTATTTTTCCTTCTCTCTTACGTAAATACTTTATTTTCTGCAAGCAGCAGAGTAAAGTATTTTCATAATCGGGTCAACTCACTCTAAAATTGATATCCATTAATACAAATACAGCATGACTAGAAAAGCTAGCAAAACCAATTAAGGACCAAAAAGGGGAGCCAGTTGCAAAGTTCTCTCTGCGTGAAGCTATGACCTAGTGTTTTATACCACAGGGATGAAAGTTCTCTTTAAAATATGCCAGTTCACAGGCCAAGGCAGCATATTCCCATGGCTTTCTAAGTAAAATCAAACACAGGATTTCAGAATGCCCATGGTCATGATACTGAGCTCCCAGGCTGAGCATCTTGTGTACATAAATGCCCATGAATATGCTGAGGAGCAGATTCATTCCCAGTGGAAGAAAAAGGGCTTAGAAAAGTTGTTTTGGTGACTCTGCTGACAATTTGTTAAATGCCAATCTGAAGGAATAATCTCTGGACGATTATTTTTCATTCTCTGTTCCTAAATGCTTCATTTCACCTCAGCCCTTTAGGTTTATCTGCTCCTCTTAAGGCAAATTGCAGCAGATGAGCTGGTGCTGTGGAAGGGGTCAGCCAGGCTGTTTGTTAGAGCTGTCCCCAGAGGCACAGGGTACAGGTACGCCGAGGGCTGTTCAGTGACACGGAGCAGCCGCTGTGTCCCCCGGGGCCTCGAGCACTAATGTGTTTCCAGAAGGTCAGAACAAGACATGTGGGACCARGATGCTCAAGCTAGACTCCCAATGTTTGGGGATCATCTTGTCTTCCCATGCTGCACCAAACTAATTAAATGAGCTTCACAATCTATTTAGCTAAACGGTCACAATTTCCCAAATCAGTGCCAAGTGTGACTGATGCATAAATTGAGTTAAAGTAAATTGATAAAAAGCCTGCTGAAGTCTTTTCTATATGTCAAGGTTGGATTGGTTAATTTTTCAAGTACAATCTGACATATTCACCCTTCTTCACTTTTCCCGCATGTGGCATCATTATAAAGGTGATTAAATTGTTCTTGTGCTTTCTAGAAACAAAATAGGCAATGTCTACTCGAAGCACCTTTTTTAATGACACATCTGCTTTAGTACAAAGGATCTGTGCCAGTGTAATTAATTTAGTTAAAAACTCCCACCTTTGTCACTTGATAGAAGCACTTCCACAGGGACAAAAAATGTATTTAGAAACCTAAATTGGAATATAAAGTAGAATGCATGGAGAAACATTGACTTAACTAAAGCTTTTTTACTGAATGTCTTTACCATGCAATTACAGTGGTTTGATTCCTGTGCATTAACCGAGCCTCCCGCTGATTCTCTGGATTTGACATAGAGTGAGGTACTTTAGAATGAGGGAAACAAATACCCATTTTTGGTAAGCCTTTGAGAACTTCAAACAGCAGGCACTGTGCAAGCACAGAATATGATTATTGCTATTTTACACAGTAAAATAATATTCAACAGTAAGTTACACAATGAAACAGCAAAAGCACTCCTGAAAATACACATTTCCCAACAAGCTGTAGGAAGAAGCTTAAATTACTTTTCTCCAAACAGCTCACTGGGAAACCAGCTGTTCCAAGTGTGAGTCAGCAGCCTTTCTAGAGTCAAACCCTCCAGCACCTTTCTAAATTCACACTCATTAAAAATGTTCATCTCCTTGGTAGAAGTCCCTTAGGTATTTGCCAAGCAGTGCTGTTAGTACAAGGAGGAAAATTAAAAAAAAAAAAAAATTAAAAAAAAATCTCTCTTCACTGCAATTACTTTGAAGAGAGGAGGGAAGTCATTCTTCATTATTTCAGTTACTAGTCCCAGCAGGTTTGTGTCATTATCTGATGGAAATGTCCTTTTTCCATTGTTTGAAGGCACAGTCAGAGGGAACAGTGTGACAGCCAGCTTCCTATGGAAATCTCTGTTCTCTTGTTCTGGGATCATAGCAGTAAGCCTTCCTCCTGCCCAGCACCAGTGCATGGCTGAAAGCCTTCTGCAATGCCCACTCCCTTCTGGAAGAGTGACAAAGGAGTGCTCAAAACTAATTTTGTTGTAAAACCTCCCACCCAAACRGCAGAAGCAGCCTGTAGTTGCCATGTTTGAGTGATGGCACAATGAGAAGTGGCACAGCACATTTCTGGAGAGGAAATGGGTGTCACTCCTCTGTAGCTCCAAGGATGCTCTTTCTAGCTCTCAGTAAGAGAATCAGTGGAGAGRTTGCAATGGGGTAAATTTCTTTCAGAATATTGGAGGACCGCGCTAGTTTACTTCGCTGAAAAAAAAATTGGATTTGAATTTCCATTTTCCTGCAAGGAAAGAATGTTTTCAGTAACATCACAGCTGGTCCAGGTGGTGCCATTTTTGGTGCCTGGTGAGCGACAGTGGCTGGATCCCTTCAGAGGTGGGAGGAATGATGCACAACCTTGCACACAAAACTTGCCAGCTCAGATGCAATGTAAGGAGAAGGGAATAACCTCTCCAGCTCTGCACAGGTGAGCTCAAGCCCTATGGGTGATGCAGAACCAGGGGACATGTGCTGCTCCATTCCAGCTCCCCCAGGAATATGCTGGGGTTCATGAAGTTAAGGGACACATCCTCAGCTTTCCAAGTGGTTTTCTGTACAAACAAAAGATCATTCAGATGCATCCAGCCTAAATTCCACTTTGTCCCTGGGCCTTTCAGTTCCTTCTGCCTGCCTTTTGGTTTCTCCAGAGACATCTTGCCAAATAAAATATTGGGCATAAAGCTATTACTGAAATTTAGATTTTCCAAACTATGGGCATCAGCACTCATCTGGGGAGTATTTGGGATTACCTAGGGTACTGGAACTATCATGCCCAGACTTGCTGAGCACTCACTGAGTGAGTAGAAGTACTGAGCCTGTAGAAGTTCCTCACCAGGCTTTTCATGGCCAATACCTCAAGTGCACCAGTAGAAGGCAGTTATTAACAAAAGACTGAGCATGCATGTTGAGAGTACACAACAGGTGAACTTGCCTCAAAGAACAAAGGGAAATTTCTAAAAGCAATTKTATGGCTGGAATCCTTGCTGTGAGTTAAAACTTTAAATAGAGATTACAGGCAGTATATTTTGTCCCATGATGTCCCGGAAAAAAAGCATCATCATCAAAAATCAATGATTTTGCTCTGTTATTTAAGATAAGGTAGAACTCATGCAATGGTTAATGTCTGGAAACTTTGTTCTTCGTTAGCAAGAAATACAGCCAAACAGCAGGAGATGTGCCGGGCACAGCAGGTGCCAAGCATCCAAGCTCAGCGGTTCTGGGAGCTGGGGATTATCTCTCTGGCCTGTGACACAATCCTGTGCATGAGGCACACACCAGGAGTGCATTTTCCATGTTTGTCTCCCCTGCAGGGAGTCCCCAGCTCTGTGAGCTGCTTGCAGTGCWATCAAAGGGGAGGGACTGAAATTCCCTGGAGAAGAACATAAGGGGAGGTGATGGAGGAGAGGCACCTTCTCTCTTACCCTGACTGTATTCCTATCCCAGACAGGATTTGAATTTCCAAACCCTGTTTGGTTTGGATTTGTCCTTTGCCTTTCCAGCGGGGTGAGACTCGGAGCATTTCACTCGTTTGCTGTATGGGAGGTGCTTGGYGAGCTCACAGGACTCCTGTGTGAACTGAGCAGCTCCAGTGTGCTGTGCTGTAGAGACTGCAGAAGRAAAAGACAAAGGAGACGATATCTCTTATTTATCCATCCCAAAATAAAGCTGTAAATCGTGTTATGATTTGGTCGATGCGCGGCGCTTGCAAAGATTTCAAATAAATAATGTTCTGACCCCAGGGGCCTCATTGATTTTGCAGTAATTTCAAAGAGAAACCACTCGGTCTACTGTTTGCTGACAAATTCTTTGCTCCCTGAGGAATTCCTATTGAACATGTATTAAGGACAGGATAAAATAATTCCAAGGAAATACAGGGAGAGGGCTTTKTGTATAGACTGCTCCACGAATCAGTATTTAACCTCTGACCAGTGACAACAGGTTTCCTTTAGCTCTATTAGATCAACAGCAAGCCATTATAATTAAATATAAAAACTGTTTAGAGCCTCACCAAACATGTCCTGGGAATTTAAGCATATGGCAGGGATAAGGATAAAAAGACTTTCCATATGCTAATGACCCTAGATGTCTGAAATAAATTAGATCCATTACAGTTTATGCTCAATAAAAGAAAGACTTTAAGCACTCCAAAGTTAGTGACTCGAGACCGATTTTGGCTTAGAAATTCAATCTGCCTGCTTATTAATTCTTAGTAAGGCTCTGGAGGAGACAGGGGATGCAAAATCATAATTCTGTGCTGTATCAGAATTTTAAAGTGCCATCAGTTTCTTTTCCTCCTTTTTTTTTAATTAAACTATTTTTCATGTTTCACTTTTTTGTTCTCCTCATTTGATTTTGTTCCCATTTTTGTTTAATTTCTTTTCTTTTCAAGGTTTCATTTATCCTATTTCAACTGAGCAGAGAACCCAGAATGAATATGGATTTTCTTGTAAGTTTAATGTTTGATTTTATGTTCCTGGATGTTAATTTGATGCTGTTCCTTGAGTCAGGCTTTGCTGTTAGGCCAGCTCAGTGTGACTAGACAAAAAAGGGACTTATTCAGCAAGGAAAGTGACATCCTGCTAGGCACAGGGCTTAGCAGCAGACACAGAATGATGAGGACCCTTGTGCAGAAGGGAAATGGGAGAAGATGTCACCTCAAAGACAGAAAGTGGAGAGAACGAGCCATCCTCTCATTAAAATTCCCTTAGCAGATGGAAGGAATGTGGTGGAAGGGTAACTTTTCTTTGAACAGGAACTCAGAGCTCTGCTTCCTGAACTGCTGGGCTAAAAACAGGATGTTTCAAGGTTGGTAAATTGAAGGTCTGATAGCCCAGAGCRTACGGAGATTGATCAGTCCCTTCCTGCATCTGCCAGCTCTCACCTCTGCAGCTGGAGGGCAGCTTGGCTTAAATGGCTGAAGGAGATAAAATAAAAGTGATTTCACACATTTCAAACTAACTAAAATGGGGTACTAAAGAAAGTCTGATTTGTTTTTGCACTTCCTTTTTTCATTAGGCTATTTCTAAAAATGGGATTCTTCGCTGTATAGAAATACATCAATTTTTGATCACATATTCAGACCTTTTGGAAAAAAAATGTCTGGTGGATAATGATGCTAGAGATTAGCTTGGAATTGGTGCTGAAGATACGGTATGAGCAGCTAGTAGAAATATCATAGCCATTTCCTCACAAGACAGCTCTAATAAATTTTGGTTCCTTTTGGTAAATTACCACATTTTTTCTTGTGCTTGCTTCAGCTTTTACTTAAATATGAATGTGTTAATGCCACTGATGAGAATTCAGTGTTTGATACTCTGCTTTAYTAGTTTATTTTTTTAAAGGCAAATGGATGGAAGGGAGTAATGGTTTGACATGTTATAGTTAAAAAAAAAATAAAGACCAAAGATATGTCCTGATAGTCCATAAAAAATGAAAAATTTGGGTTCTTTTATTTTTTTAAGTAAAAATAAGGCTTCTGAAGTTTAAAAAACCCACATGGTTTTAGTATCAGATGAACTTCTAAATACCATGTCACTAAGACATACTGTCTCATTTCATAGGGTGAATTTGGTACATGAGATTAAGCCTACAACGTGTTTTGCTTGGTAGTTCACTGGTATTAGATAGATGAACAGGTGGMTAGGGAAAGAGTTAGAACACAGAGAGAAATCAAGGATTGTTTTCCATCAAAAGGGCACAGATGTGCTATATGGCGTTGGAAACAGATTTTAAATTAGCCTATAAAAAAGGCAGTAAATATCTGTAGGAAACAGGAATAATAAGAATGTGTTTCTTGAAAGTCCCTGTGAGGAGGACTTTTGTTGAAGGTTCCTGCCTCTCTCTCCCTGCAGCTGCCCCTGACTCGGACGATGTCGCTCTGTACGTGGGGATCGTCATCGCCGTGATCGTGTGCCTGGCTATTTCCGTGGTCGTGGCCCTGTTTGTCTATCGCAAGAACCACCGTGACTTTGAGTCRGACATTATCGACTCCTCGGCGCTAAATGGGGGGTTTCAGCCCGTCAACATCAAGGCTGCAAGGCAAGGTTAGTTGGCATTTCACTGCATTTTGACCAATTCGGGAAGATGCCATCAGATTAGGATCTCGTGGGCTGTGTGAATGATACCCCCTGGACGGTGGATGACACTTGATAAAAGGGAGAAGGATCATGTTCATTTGTTTCTGCTTGTCGACTGCTCAAAGCCCATGCTGGCGTTTTTCAGCTGTGCTCAAGAGTATAAAGCAGCTGAATTTAACTTCAGAAGAGAGAACATGAATGTGAGAGCAAAACTCAGACACATTTATGGAAATACAGGTCCAGCTCAAGTTGAAATCAAAGGCAAAGCTGTGACAGAAACAACGGAGGCAGGATGTATTTCAGGAGTGATACTACAGTAATTCTGTCACATCTCCCTCCCCTTTATTTCACTAATGGCTTTTTTCCCTGTGCCTTGTCTCCACGGGTATAAACAGTAGTTTGAGAAGGACTGTGCTTTTAATAGACAAATATACAAGAAATTGTGGTAGAACATCATTTAATAACAAATATTTTTATTACTGATGCATAACAGCTTGATTTTTTTCCTCACTTCATTGGCCAGGAAAAAACACTCTAAAGGTCATCCTGCCTTTATCAAGACACTTGTTTCAGCTGAACAGTTCCTCTTTTTTCCCAATATTTGTACCAGAAGAAAAAATCAAAGTAAGAGTTAAGATGACAAAAGAGTTGCCACATGTAAGATTAGCAGAAGTGTTTTCTTTGCTGGAGAAACTCATAAAACAAATCTCAAAAAAGAGTATGGCAGGTACTAATGGCCCCTGCAGGAAACCATAGACATGATGACCTCATAGGCTTGCTGTGTCTTTTATTTCAGGAATACTGTCTTCAAGCCACTTGGGTGAATTGGTTAATGATTTCCATGTAGCATTTAGGGAGGGGTTTTTAGTTAAAACTAGATCTACTGAGCAATGAAAACATCCGGCCCTGAAGCTAAGCGTGTCTTATTTGAAATCCGAGTGCAGCCTGGAAAAAWAATCCCAGAAAAACCTTCAGGGCAGAAACAGGCGGTAATTTTGTGTGGCAATTGGATTCCACAGCAGCTGGGGCRTTATGAGCCCTGGGAGTTTGCTGGAGAGATTCATGGAAACAGAGATGAAGGTTCAGGGACTTTGCATATCTGAGCAYTTGGAGCGAAAGGCAAAATGCAGAATGCAAACCTAAATTGTGGTTCAGAATGAAGTCATTAGAGTACGGAAGTAATTGTGGTTCTTCTTTCTCATCTCCACTGCAGACCTGCTGGCTGTGCCACCAGACCTCACCTCTGCTGCAGCCATGTACAGGGGTCCYGTGTACGCCTTGCACGATGTCTCGGATAAAATCCCAATGACCAACTCTCCAATCCTGGACCCACTGCCCAACCTGAAGATCAAGGTTTATAACAACTCTGGTGCAGTCACTCCCCAGGATGACCTCTCTGACTTCTCCTCCAAGCTGTCCCCACAGATGACACAGTCTCTGCTGGAGAATGAGACCCTGAACGTGAAGAACCAGAGCCTCGCTCGGCAAACTGATCCATCCTGCACTGCCTTTGGGACCTTCAACTCCTTGGGAGGCCACCTAGTAATTCCCAATTCAGGTAAGCACTGGCCATGCTGGCTTACTTGTTTGTGGGTTTAAGTGATGTTGGCTTGYTTTTGTGTAAGGGGAGAAAGTCTGGGAAATATCTGAGACTCAGCCCTTTCTTTGATCAAATAAATAGATGGGGTTTTTTCCTCCCTTCATTTGCATCCACCAAAGTACTTCAAATGTCTTCTACCCTAATCCTGGCCACCTTTCAAACACTGCRGACTTGAGGAAGACTTGCCCTTCACTACAAGAACACAATGTTAGGAGTAGTGGCTGAGGGAGCTGGGATGGTGTAGCCTGGAAAAAACACTGAGAGGAGACCTAACTGCTTTCCACAGCTACCTGAAAGGAGGCTGTAACAGGATGGGGGTCGGTCTCTTCTTCCAGGTAATGCTTAGGGGTGTGATTTAGTGGGGAACATGGTGCTGGTAATGACTGGACTYGATGATCTTAGAGGTCTCTTCCAACCTAAATGATTCTGTGATTCTAAACAGAGTATTGGAGGACTCAGCCATTTTCTGATACATGCAAGGCTTCAGAGCTCCACTGTGCAAAGTGCAATTCAACATCACCTTTTCCTTTTATTGCAGGAACTTCAATACACTGTCTCTATTTTTCCATAGCACATAAAAGAGGACAAATTAATTTTTAAAAATTGGTTGTTCCACTTCCTATTCATTGCAGGCTATGTGCAATTGAAGTAGGACAGCAGAATACTATTTTTGGAAGGGTTTTTACCTCAAGTTATTGTTGACTGCCTTTACAGCTAAGAAAAAGAGGGACTGAGCATTGAGGGCCTGTTGATGTAATTGCACAGTGCTGCTCAATCTTTCTTACAGAGCACAAAATCTGGCTTCCAGTYCCCCTCAGGCCACCCTGGCATCAGGAGGCCATTTCAGAGCATCCAAGGAGCTCTTGGGCAGCCTTGGGAGTGCTCAGGTCTTTCTGACAGGTTTTTCAGCAGAGCCATTCTGCTGCTTGTTTCCTACATATCAGCACCCAGATATTCCTATGGGTTTAGTACAGTACTGCAGAGCTGCATTAATATCTAAAGGGAGAATGAATCAAATACATCAAACACTTGATGTKGAGGACATGCAGGAACACACCTGCCCAATTTCACTGGAATTTTGAATTCAGGCAGGACCACAGTACACAACACACTGCAGCTCACAGGTTGACCATTTTACATCAAGTGCCCTGACCAAGGAGATAATGCCTACCCCTGTCCCCTGCTCCTTTGCTGGATCACTTCTTATTTGTTGATGTTCTGGAGGAAGCACAATGCCTGGGTGACCCAGGATGTGGATGATTTGGTCCTTCCAGAGTGCATTTCCACACTGCCCATGAAGCAGCCAAAAGTGGTTGGAGCCATAGCCCCACTCTTCTAACGGGAAGCAAAAATATCTGTTACATTTAAGTAAAAATTGAACTAATTCAATAAATCTGGTGCTGACTGATAAGCAACATTGTAAATTCGTGCTRCATAGTCTGGGGTTTCCCATTTCTCTGAGGAGCAGCTGAAGATAGATATAGATACTCAGTTTTCTTATGCCACAGTGGTGCACATTATCAGCAAAGTCCATTAGTCACAGTTAATTCACGTACATTAATATCAATTTGTGAAGAAAAAAACATTTGGTGCTGTAATCGCTTCAAAATGATTAAAGTAATGATTTTCTAAAATAAAACAATCTGCCTGCTGCTACTCTCTATGCCTTTGTGCTGCTTCTAGGTGTACATGTACACCCAGGTGTACAGGTGCACTGTGACTTGTATGTTTAAGAAAAGAGGGAGGGCCATTCAAGGCATCTGTAAAGTCTCTCYTGTGTGGGCACATGTGTAAATGTCTTCTTCTGGGTCAGTTTTCAGCTGTGTACCAGTAACTGTATGCAAATCCTTGCCACTGATTTCCAGCTAATCCTCCCCATCTCCACAGAGAGCTGGCTGGGATGTGTCCAGCAGAGTGAAATAGCCAGTTCATGGGCTGTGTTTGACATCTCTTAAATGGAAATATTGTAAGAGCAGTGTTTTTTAATCAAGTGTGCAGCAAATCGTTACTGAAAAGGACACTGAGCTTATTTGCCCACATTTTTTTCCAGGTTGGTTACCCCAGTTTTAAGCCACTTTCTAGGACTAGGCACTTCCAAAATACCAAAAAACCCAGGTTTGTCTTTCTGGCAGTCTAGAAACTGACTGCACTGAAAGCMAGGATGCCAGACACAGAAGTCATCTTTCAGGAAACAACTAGTTCTTGTTGCTTCCTGGGACAGTGCTCCACTGCCTTTTTTTCCAGATCTTAATTAAGTAAGAATTGCCTAGGGAGAGATGTCCCATTACAGCTGTTGGAAATTTTAGTCAGAGTTGCTTGTTTTTCCATCATTTTACAAGGTAAGCAACAGCGTAACCATCTGTCTGCTCTTTAAATAAAATGAAAGGGAAGAAAATCCTCTTTTCCACTCCCATATTTCCATGCCAGTGCAAAAGAGGAATAAGAACAGGCAGCTGGGTACTGGAGACACCAGGGTTACAGCAAATGCTTTTTCTCCCRAGCTGCTGAGGTCATTTAGAGTCTGCTGGTGAGGTTGACTGAAAATCTGGCATTACAGGCTTCATCTTCTGCCTCTCCTGTCAACCCTCTTCACAGATCTACTCACCTCTTTTTTCTCCATTTTGTATCTTTTGTGTCTCTTGTGTTCCTCAGGAGTGAGCTTGCTGATCCCAGCGGGAGCCGTTCCACAAGGGAGAGTCTATGAAATGTATCTGACAGTTCACAGGAAAGAGAATATGAGGTAAAAAACTTCCTTTATTTCCTTAAGTACATTAATTTCCTATTTAGTGCATTTTATTTCCATTCGGTGCATTAAGTGAGGGGGAAACTGTAGTAACTGCAGATCTGTGGTAATAATGCTTATGCAAAGCATTATGATAAAATGCACTGAAGCCGTTTGCTCACTTGGAGGTAAACACAAGCAAAACCAAGAATAAACTTTGCCACAAAACCAGCTCAGATTGTTTTTCTAACCAAGAGTTGCAGTCTGCARCAAGACCTCAGGCCAAGGCGATGCTGAACTGCAGAGGAGCAGGGAAAATGTGCCAGCATGACTTTGTGCAGCAGGGAAAGTGTGAGGTAACCTTGATAAAGACCTGTGCTGCAAAGGAGAAGGGAGCAGAGGAGAAAGGTGATAAATCAGCTCAGTGGAGGCACAATGGAAAATCTCCTCTCCTGTTAGAGCAAAGGTGAATTTCTATTTTACCCTTCACGGGCTTGGTTAGTCCATGAAGTAAAGAGGATGGAGCCAAAGCTTTTGGTGTTATCCACCTCCTTGCTGCTTTGCCCCAGGTACAGCATGCCAAAGACACCCAGAGCTGATGGGTGACCACTGTTGTTGTCACCTGTTACCTGCATGTGTGGCCAATTCATATTCTAGAATCTCTACTGAGTCATCCGGCAGCCTTGAAATTAAAAAAAAAAAAATTGTTTACTAAAAGGCCAAGATATCATCTGGAGCCATTCAGGAAATCCTCATGAAGAGAAAGGTGAGATCTTAGGCTGCAGAATGGACTCCTGTGCACAAAGGCAGGATGGCAAATGTGAAGCTGAGGCAGTCATTACACGGTACTTTGCCTCTTTCTCCTCCTCATAGCTAGATATGTTTTTTGGCTCAGCCTCTTAATAGCTTTTATTATGTGCTAAGCCACAGCTGTTTATACACTGTGTGTTATTGAACACTATTCTTTAGCTTGGTAGTCTTTCACCCAAGCTAAAATAATCTGCTTAAAGAAAAATTAAATAATCCTTCCACCCACCCTTTTGCATACATTATTCATCAGCTGCTCTTTGAAAAATAGCTAATTGCAGCTACAGAAAAAAATGTCTCTGTTCATAGTTAGTATTGATTATATTCCTATTACTTCTGGCTGTGTTTTAAGGACATTTACATACAGTGTTGAACAAAGACTGTTTCCTGAAGAAGGAAGAAAAAATCAGATGGCATCCCCTGTCATTCAACTTGCCTCTAAATCTCCCTTTCTAAAATATGTAATTCCTAAAAAAAAATTATTTAATTCCTAGAATGTACTCTATGTGCAATTATTTTCTTTCCAACCAGTTATGAGGGAATCTCTGTTTCTTTATTAATGCAGCTGTGGACAACTAATGTTACATAGTAGTCTAATTTATTTTCYTCAAGGATCATAAAGCCTTCTCTGCATGCTTGGTGATTGCTGTAACTCAGCAAGTCACACAGAGGATGGAAGGATAGGCTAACCTGTGCTGGGAAAAGCATGGTTGGATGCTGCTGCCTGCCAAACTGAGCAAGTGGGCCAAAGGACACCTGCAGGAGTAAACAGAATGCTGTGAATCCTCACTTACAATGAAGATTTTAGAAGCAATTTCTTTCCCTAGGAGAGGAGAGCAGTCTATCTTGGCCATGGGGCAGCAGGGCTCATCATATTGTGGTGGCAGTCACTTTCTGGATACGCAGAGCCCAGCTGCTGATTTGGTATGTGGCAGTTTTTCTGCTGCCCATGAGCACACCAGGCTCTCCATGCTCTTACATACCACCCTCTCCTAGGACATTTCAGATGGAGTTCATTGGGTGTTGTCCAGATCACTGAGAACTGAATATTCATTAAAAAGGGCTTCAACATCACAGAAGTGTGATGTCTTCCTGTTATCTGCCCCCTTTCCTCAGGTGCCAAGGAGCAGAAAGGRGTGAGTGGCACCCAGATGTGATGGTCCCCTGACTCATTACCAGACATTTAACTTCTATAGGAGAGCTACAGCTCAGTCACAGCATATTTTTTTCTGACTGCATGGGCCACAGCTGTTGCTTCATATAATAGGAGTCATATGGGTACCACAAGTTGCTGTGTGGTGTAATTATTTTTTAAATCAGCTACTGCACTCTTGCAGCACTCTAGCAGAGAGTGATAGCTCCCAGTAAGGACTAGCTGCAGACATTTGCTTTYGTGGCCAGGCGGTAACTGCAGTGTCCAACAATCCTTTGAGACCCTGTATTTATTGTCATGAGCACTGTGCAAATGAGTATGGGTTGTAAAGTCCTGTTACGTGTGGATGTAGCTTGGAAGGGGACATGCAGGAAATTATAAAATATGTGTTATGATCAGAAGGAAGGCAGAGCCTTGTCCTTGATTTTACAGCTACCACTGGGGTGAGAATGTGCTCTCCATGGTGCTACCCAAAGAGAACAGTGCAGCGACAGAGAGGGGCACCACCACAGCTCACACATCTCCAGCAACTCAAGATATAGCTACCACTTTGTTTGTAGAAATACGATACTACTGAACAGTCAAGCTCAAACACAAAACACGTTATTGCTCAGACTCCTGCAAATTCCCCTTCTCTTTTCCTTTGTTTTCATAACGCATTTCCCCAGTTGGTCTCTGAAAGCTGCAGTACAGAAATCTGAGAGCCATCACAACCCAGTAATATCACTCTTTTGTGTTGCCTTGCAGATTGGTTAGGGAGAGCTTTCTGAGACAGTCTGTTTATTGCATTCTGTATCTATCAAAGCACGTGAGAGCAGGGAGGTCACCCTAAAAGCATTATCCTCCTGCAGTGAATTGGGGTTCTGATAGCTTGCAGTAAATACCACTTGGAGGCASCTGTTTTCCTGAGTGTGTTAGTATACTCGTGGCACAGTGGGGTTTCTCTTTTCCTGGACTGATGCTCCASGAGAGTGTTATTCCTGCTCCTGTCCTGCAAACTCACCCCCATTGTGCCTGTCATGAGGGGCAGGATGGATGACAGGCAGGCTGGTGTGTTGACCTCATGGAAAGATCCACTTGCAGCTACAGTGGGGAAAAGGATATCCATGTATATATGGGTGTGTGTATATACATATATATATAYATATGTATGTGTGTATGTAACTGAAAAAATGACAATTCTGTGAGAGTATTTCACAGCTATCAGACAGGTTTCTGTCTTGGAGCTTATTTTGCAGTGATCYGATGCTCTCTCCCTTAGTCTGCGGAAGTGTGACCAACTCTGAGATTTGCAAGAAGGGATCCCTTCCTGAGTGGTGGTTTCATCTGTAAAATCAGTGCRTTATGTTGGCTGGTACCTGGCAAGAGCCTGTTCCCATGGGCATCTATGAGAGCCTGGGTTTTACAGATTAAGTAATATAGTTAATTAATTTGTAATTTAATCCCAAGGATTAAATATCATGAGTATAAACCTCCAACCTTCAGGATTTGCTTGACTGCCTCAGGTTAAAAACCGAATCTTGTCGTGAGCTGAATTAGGGAGCTGTGTTTCCTTCAGAAACATCTGGCAGGGGTCAKTGCTCGATGGGGTCTGGGTCTTGATGGACCACTGGTTTTATCCTGCATGGCAGCTCCTGTGCTCCTGTGTGGATCCCTGCTAGGCTTGCATAGCTTTAGGAGGAGCTGCTCTGGCATGCTCTAATCACAGCAGTGTGAAGGACACTCCTGGATAATCCATCACAGAGGAGGTGTTCCAAATGAGAGYAATGTCACCGTGCCCAGGAAACCTGACAGCCCTGAAGAACAGAGCAAGCAACACTCCTGAAGACCTTGATGGAAGGTGCACTTGAGTGTGTAAATTTCAAATTAGGAGAAAAGGGAAAAAGGGAGAAAAGGGTAAGGTGAACCTAGCCAGGATTTGTATCAATGGCTTCATAATGTATGCACAGACTGCAAGATAAAGTCAAGCATCTGATCAGTGAGTGTGATCCAAGGAGCAGCATTGTCTTTTTCACCAGTAAACCTTAAGCTTAGTGATGTGAAATAAAAGAAATTGAAGTCTTCCACATCTCATTTCTCCGCCTTCCTTCTTTATCTCAGTTGCATAAACAAAATTACTTTGCAACTCCAGAAGACAATTTCATGAAGTGACAGTCACTGTAATTGAAAAATTCAACATAAAAAAGGCCAGAGCATGAGCAAAAGGGGAGGGCAAACTTTTTATTTTTCTTCTATAGATAGACTGTTAGAAGAACCAGGGTCTGTTGAGAATATTAAATTTGAAACTCAAGATGRAACACATATTAAAAAATAAAGCCCCAGCAATGAAAGGAGAAATAAAATACCTTCCCTCTAACTTTTGGCTAAGCTGTGCAGAAGGGTTGCTATGTGATAGCCATTCCTCTCTCCCTTCTCCATCCTGTGCTTCCTGAGCTGCTGTGATTGCCTGGAGCACAGAGCACAATGCAGTCCCACTGAGGAGCAGAGATTTATCTAGTTGTGCTCACATCTGCTGTCTGACAGCTACCTTAATGAATATGGTCTGGYTTATTACAGGGAGATGGTTTCAAATGAGTAATCCCATTAAAAACACAAATTTGATTGTGAGGGGGCCAGATAKGGTGAATAAAAGTTTGTTTGCTTTTAAATGTAAGTTGACTGTTCTTGGTAATCTGCGAGGGCTGGGAAAACAACTAAAAATATCTGAAGACCTTTCAGTTCCTGTTTGTGCCTTTTAATGGAAATGCTAAGCAGGCATTTGAATTTTAGTCTCAGATCCTTGTAAAACAAAAACGCCTCTTAGTTTTTGGAGTCATACAGCTCAGTCTTCTCTAACAAGTTGTCCCAAGACTGCTGCAAGCCTAAAGTGAAGCACACGTTGATGGGGATTTTGCAGGGGCTTGGGTTTGGGGCTCTTTTTTGGATAACAGCCTGAAAATTGGACCACAGTTTTGATGAAGTCTGCTCATAGGTCCAACTCCCTTGCTCTATATGCTCCCCTATGTCTCTGTTTTTGCTGGACCTCCTGCAATCTATAAATATATAAATCTATGAATCTCAATGCTGGACCACAACACCTGCTCCTCCAGGTCAGGATCCTGGCTTTGCTGGTGCTGCATCACCTGTTTCAAGAGAAGGAATAAAATTGCCTGTAATGAGTGGCTGCACAACAACTTGTCTTCAGGGGAGTTTGTTGTTTACTAATTCCATGAATTAGTGTTGGTTTATGCTTTGAAGAAGAGCGATTAATATTCTTTGGATAATGTGTCTTCTCTACTGCATCTGTTTCTGCTCTCATTAGCTATAGTAAGGCATAATCCTTTTGTTTTAAAATGGAAATTCAAAGCAGTGAGAAGCAAGAGAAGATTTGCCCAGAGATTTTTGTTCCTTCTTCCTGTCACTTGTCATAGGGCACCTCTCTGCTGTGTGTGCCATTGTGGTTTTTAGCCTCATTCCTCTGGGTTTCAGGTGTTTACTTCTGAGATCTCATGGTCCCTAAACATCCTGCTACCTGCAGTCATGTTGGAGCTGGAGAGGAAAGGGAATATCACCTTGATGTGCTTTGACATGCCTTGTCCCATACAACACCAGAAATCAGATTTGCTTTTTGTCACCTTACACGTTGACTCCTGCTGTGTTGCAGCAAGCYTGCCTGAAATCTTGTTCACTTTTATTGCTTTCTTTGTTACTAAATAACTCCTTGGAACTTGTTCTGCTCCAGTTTGAGTTACTGTATGATTAATAGGATTTTATTCCCACTCGTATTTTTACCTTCTCTAGAATTTTGGCATTGTTTTCTGGCTGTCACTGTTCTTGTAGTGATTCCTTAYTAATCGTTACCTGTAAATTTAACATTGTGCTTTCCACATTGTGAGTAAAAATCCTGGCCTCACAGTAGTCAGAGAGAGGTTTGGCAGAGAGGTTTAATAGAACTGGGATTTTACCTTAACCGTGACAATGACCCACTCCACACCACTTGAGAACTTCTCTGCAACTCATTATATCTTCATTTTTACAGGTTTATGTGCACAAGGTGGATGTTGGAGAGTCACTAAGACCAGCAGATGTTCAGTAATTTTGTGGTGCCAGTCTCTGGTGTGTGCSTGCTTGGGAATTTAGGACTGTAAAGCCAGGCACCCCCACAAATGATCCATTTTTCTGCTCTTCACTAGTCAGATATRAATACCATAAATACCCAGGTCAGGACCATGCATATCTCACCCACTTGGCAATAAATCTTCTAAATCTGGTGACAAGGATGCTGTTTATGAACATGGGGGAAAAAAATTAACGTTGTATTTTTAACATATCATTTGTATGCTTGTATCCACATCCCACCTCAGCTGCTCACGGTGCAGACTGCAACACATCCTTCCTTACTTGGTGTTCTGCATGTTTTTTTTTTTATACTTGTGCTAATCAGCTATAAAATGTTGCAGCACAGAGCCATGCCCTTCATCAGGGTCCTAAAAACTGACAGTTAAAAAAATTTTGGCATGAAACAGTGGCTAAAATTGACTTGGAGACAACTTCAGACTATATGATATATCAGTACCATATTATTTTAATGACCTTTTGGGTTTTTTTAAACTGCATACATCAGTGCTTGTCAATTTTAGCTCATTTTTCACCTAAAAGGTGCTATTAATTTTTTTAAGGCAATCATGATATATTCACGCCTGTGTTGTTTTTGACTGTTTTGTAATTCAGTCAAAAAACTATGATAGCTTGTATTTTATTTTATTTTCTTTTTTATGGGTCAGTCCTCTTAGATGAYGTTAGGTTAACTAGATGATTAAGTCCATAGCTGGCAAGATCTGTAACTTTCTATACAAAAATTGTAATTTTGAGAGATCTTTCTCATAAGACACTATATTTCTTGAAATTTCTTGAATTAGACTATAGGGGAGTGCTCAAATATCCACTAATTCCCAAGGCTGATGACCATTAAAAACCACTGACACACTCAGAGTGCTTTTTAGGTTTCTTGTTGCTTCTTATGTAAATGAGTCAGAAAAAGAAGAAATGTTTTAGTGAAAAACTGTCTATTTATTCAGTCTGTCTTACAAGAGAGCAATACCTCATTTTCTTAATCTGAACCCAGAGATTGCCAGCAGTATGCCAGAGGAGCTGGGCTAGGTACTCTATCTGCTGGTGTTTCATTTCTTTTGTGTGCTGTTTGTTAGGCTGAAATAGCTGGCACGATACGTGATAGCTGTCCAGATTGTTACACTTTACATCTTTTGTGAAAGACMTCTATATCGCAGCTGTTTGTTTCCAGCCCATGGATTTTCAGAAACAATTGTTAAGTCATTTAGTAAACTCATCAGTTAATTTCCACAGATGTATATCATCTGGATTTACCGATTTGCATAGATTTAAATTTTTCCATGCCAGACATTTTTTTTCTCCTCAAATGCTATAAAAGCCTCCACAACATTTGTAGCAACAAGGGATCATTTTCAAAAGTGCCTTCATCCCATTTTGAAAAAGGATTTCTCAGAAGTTTGTCTTTCATTTTCTGTGAGATTAATGGGATAGGCAGGGAGAATTAAGGTGGAAAAAATTAGATTAGTCCTATGGGCATATATTTGCAATAGCCGGAACAGGTGTGATAAATTTGATATCAAAATAGCTTCTGTCCTGATTTAGCCTCCTTGAAAATGTTTTCTAAGATTACTTGCTCTGCTCTGCATTGGTGAGGCCTCACCTTGAACACTGTGTGCAGTTTTGACCACCACAATGTAAGAAAAATATTTAATTATTTGGATTTAGAGAGTATCCAAAGGAGGGTGATGGAGATGGTGAAGGGTCTTGAGGGGAAGCCTTTGGGGAGCAGTTGATGGCACTTGGTCTGTTCAGGAGAAGAAGACGATGAGGGGAGATCTCGTGCTGGGAAGAGGAGGGGCAGGCACTGCTCCCTGTGGTGACAGTGACAGGACCCGAGGGAATGGGCTAAAGTTATGTCAGGGGAGGTTTAGGTTGGATATCAGGAAAAGGTTCTTCACCCAGAAGGTGGCTGGGCACTGGCACAGGCTCACCAGGGCAGTGGTCTCAGCACCAGCCTGACAGAGTTCAAGAAGGGTTTGGACAATGTTCTCAAGCACAGGGTGGGACTCTTGGGGATAATCCTGTGCAGGGGCAGGAGTTGGACTCGATGATCCTTGGGGGTCCCGTCCAGCTCAGGATATTCTATGATTCTGTGATTACAGCAACCTTTTTTCCCCTTGGTAAAGGCAAAGACTTGCAGAAAATWAACAGCAATACTGTCCCAACTAATGTCACAAAGACTGATGCAGGGGGGATTGAACTCTTACCTGGTGCAGAGCATGTGAGGTCCCATAGGCAAATCAGGATTTTTAAGTGCAGATCCCATTGAATGCTTTTAATCCCCCTCTTGCTGGTTTCTGGATCATGAATTTGTCCTCTGTTATTTAGGGAGGTAGTTGGTGAGGCACATTCGGCTGTATCTGTCACACACCATATGCTGGGATAGTTAAAGTCACTCGTGCTTCCTCTTGTTTTGAGCTCCTCAGTGGTTGGTCTGGGATGGTTTGCACACACATGCTCACACACACACACACACACACACACTCACATTCTACCATTTTCAAACCACAGTGTATGCTATGTATCCTAAATATTCATTTGATTTCCTGTAACACCCATTCCTAGTGACTGGCAGCAAGCACACTGGCTAATACCAGTGTTTTTAGCTGAACAGCTCAGGGTAATCACTAAAAATCTTGGGCTTTGTGAGTGTGTTTTACCCCTGCACTATTCCCTACCATCCCTTTGTCCCTTCGCCCTCACCAGCAGTGACACCTGCTCCCTGTATTTGCAGTAGCCATTCTAGTAGGTCTGAATGCCTTTTAAGTATCAGTGGGTTTGGTGATGGCTCAGGACTCGATATGCACATCTCAGATGTGCTGCGTGCCACTTAGAAGGATTCAAACATCCTCACATGCTTATTAGTTCAATGTTTTCATCATCTTCACTTTTCTCTGTCCTGACAGTCAGTAATTCTCACAAGTGGTGAGAATTCTCACAGCTCTTCTACAAGAACCACCATTCATTTGTGTGTGTTACTGAACAGCTGCCAAATGCAGCAGTGACCACATTTTGGCAGTGGGTAAAATGAAGCCTCTGCATCCCATTCTGCAAGGATCCTTCAAAGTTCTCAGCAAATGTGTTCTGTAGTTTGCTGACACCTAAACCTGCATTTTGACATATGAGAGATATATGGCCCAAAAACAACCAAAAAAAAAAAAAAGGAAATAAATGTGGATTTGGAAAAAAATAAAGGAAAATCAAAACCCACCTATTTTGCTTGCATTATCTTTTTTTATTTTAAGAGGATTTGTTACTTTTACACACCCAAATGAATCTTTTTGTCTTTTTCAACTCAATGTATCCACCCTCTGTCTCCTTGCCAGACCACCTGTAGAAGACAGCCAGACCCTGCTGACCCCGGTGGTGAGCTGTGGCCCGCCAGGCGCGCTGCTGACCCGGCCCGTCATTTTAACCATGCACCACTGCGCAGAGCCCAACACGGACGACTGGCAGATCCAGCTGAAGCACCAGGCTGCCCAGGGACCATGGGAGGTGAGGCTTCAGAGCTCCAGCCTGGGTGCTGACCACGTGTGGGGCTCTCTGCTAGGCCTTTCCTTGCCCTTCTGAACCTGTATTTTGGGGTTTCCATGTGAGATACACGGCTGCTACCGGCAGCCGGGAGTGCCCTTCCATACCAGATGTCTGAGGTGCCCAGTGCCCATGCAGGGATCTGTCCTGGGGCGTTTGACACCTCCCAGCACCAGCTGATTTCCATGGTGGGATCCTGATGTGGTTGCTTGCCAGCAGTACAGCAGCAGAATGTCCCAAGGCAGTGTGGCAAAAGGACCTTCCCACTGTGACTGAAGCATAGAGTAATGCTTTCAGCAWGGCTGAGCTGTCCTGACAGAGCCCTCCTTCCCAGCCCTGTGCTCCAAGGTCCTTGCTGCCAGCACTCTAGTCTCCTAATTAATTTGGCAAGGGTCCTTTCTCCTGCTGGTAAGGTTAATAAGGTCAGGGTGGCTTCTGAAGGCAGTTGGGCTGGTGGTAGCAGAAGTGTCGTCTCCAGCATTGTCTCCAAAAGCCTCTCGTGTTCTGCTGTATGCCCAGGGCAGGGAGGTCATCTGCATTCAGGCAGTATTGGATTTTTTTTCCTTACCCTGCAGTCTCATCACAGGGGATTATTTGAAGATGCAGCAGGTGATATTTCATGTAAATGTGGTATTTGGCCACCACAGARGTTAATTCCCTTCCTTGAGTTTTTAGAACTCCTTATTGTCATGCCTAGGAAGTGAAGGGCAGTTATTTATTCAACATGTCTGAGACTGCTGATGTTAAATCATGGTCACCAAATGATTAGTTCTGCAATATCTCTTTCAATAAAGTCTCAGTGATATTTTCATTATTTGCCTGACTCTGTCCAAGGCTTTAAAAGCRGGAGTGAGGACAGGGGGAGTTTTCAACCTCCAACATCACCACCATCACCCCAGAGAAATCTACTCCCTGTGCCTACACAGGAGAATAGCTGGAAGCAGGACTTTTAGCTCTTGATTAATCTAAGGAGCAAACAGCAAGGATTTTTTGCATCAACCACATTTGAAAGGGGCATTGCTGCCTGAAAGAAGAGTGGCTCTGAGGGGTCACACACCGTAACTTGGCCTTTTTCTCTCTTAGGACGTGGTGGTGGTCGGAGAGGAAAACTTCACCACCCCGTGCTACATCCAGCTGGACCCGGAGGCCTGTCACATTCTGACAGAAACCCTCAGCACCTACGCCTTGGTGGGACAGTCAATCACCAAGGCAGCAGCCAAACGTCTCAAACTGGCCATCTTTGGACCGCTGTCCTGCTCCTCGCTGGAGTACAGCATCCGGGTCTACTGCCTCGATGACACACAGGACGCTCTTAAGGTGGTTCTTCATCTCTTGCTTCCTCCCTTGTCACAGGACTGCAGTCCCTCTCCAACCCTYTGCTCCACATAGTCATGCTCCCTGGGTTATTTTTCTGATTAGAAGAAGAGCTTGACAGCAAGCTGCTGTTTTACAGTTTAACCCCCACACACCGTAAATTGTCCTTTGCACAGGGATCTCACACTGTTTTCCACCCACCAGTCTTTTTTCCTTTGTTTACCTGTATCATATCCTGAATCCTAAGGTCTTTGCATTATTAAAAGGCCATAAGGTACACAGGGCTTCATTCGTTGTTCATGTATTTTTAATGCTAAGTGCCAGCTCCCCAGAGACCAGGAAACATATAAATGCTTCTTTGTAAATAGTTGATAATGATAAAAGAAGCTTCTGGCCCGTTAATCACTGCCTGCTTTATTACACCTCTTCGTGTGCAGCTTTTTGTGTTGGGAATTCACAGCCGGAACAAACCAAAGCTGTTGCTATCCCGAACTGTGTAAGCTTTCCCTCCCTGTGTAATTCTGGAGTACACACAAACCACATACAGATGAGCAGAGAGGTAACCATACTTGCTATTTATAAATAATACCTGTATTTGTACACATGGTATCTATAATAGATGCACTCATKAAATATGTAGCTCCAACTGCACAGCAGAGTTTATTAAAAGGTGGAGTGTTTTCCTCTGGTTGTAGTAAGTGCAACTGCACAAACGCCTCTTCGTGGCAAAATGATTTCAAAGCCTGACTAAGCAGAGTCATTCTGCTGCTGYACATCCTTTTTTCCCCCCAAGGTCTATGTGGGAATTACTGGGATTTAAACCTACATACACCGGCTGGGAAAAAACACACTGGTTTGTATTTTTAAGAACAGTGGCTTCCATCACTGAGAACAGCACGCTTGGTTGTCCTCCCTGATGCCATCTGACATCAAGGTTTGCCTGCCTAGCTTTGCTCTTCTATATGCAAGAAAAGCAGCAAAGTATTAGGGTTGTAGCAGGCACATGGTGACTTCAGCTGGGTTTTGTCCTCTGGGAGCTTGGYCTCTGTCACTGCATTGGTGTTACCRGCCTTTTAGAAACAATTATTTTCCCTGGTCTGATTTCCCTTTTGTTTTTTCTATTAAAAAAAAAAAAAAGTGAAAAAGATCTTTCATAGCAATCAAGTTTCAAAGGTCCTGATGGTTTTATGCCTGTGCTGCATAAYACAATTTTCCATGGGTTTGACAAGGCCTGAGGTAATAATAAGTGAGTTGGAGGGGCCTTGGCCAGCCAGCTAATGCAGTCAGAGCTGAGGAATCTAATTAAGTATAACTCAGGAGCTGTTGGTCTGTTCCTAATAAACTGTAGGGAGAGTTGTGTGGTAAAGTTAATCCAATTCAGTGYGACAGCAGAGGGGTTGAGGAGAGGCACAGAGCCACAAGGGGGGAACCATCCTTTACCTGAAAAGCTGCGGCCAGMATTTGGGAGGGGTCAGTCCTTGGGATCCTGCTGCAGTTAGACCCCAAAGCAAAATTGTAATTTAATGAGGGAAGGTGAGCAAAGTCAGGAAGTCACCATCCCACTCAGTACCTACTGCCTTTCTATGTCAAGTTCATGCATTTTAATTTTCTTTTTCTTTGTCGTGAGCACCCCTATGAATGCATGAGTTGCACTTCTTTGCAAATGTAAGGTCTGGGGAAAGGAGACTGAGGAAAAAGAAACCTGTTAACAAATAGCCAAGTAAAATAGGTGTGGATGGAAGGGCTGGCATGCAGAAGTAGGAGAGTATGAGCTGGTGTGTAGAAACCAGTGTGTACCAAACATTCCTGTGTGACAGCATTGTCCAGACTTAAACTATGACTATGCAAAAAGAAAAAATAAGGTTGGGGTGTGYGCCACGTGCTTTCAGAGCAGCTGGTAGTGCAGCAGCCCCTGCCGTGCTGGGAGGACACCCTTGGCACTGCTGTATTGCCAAAGGGATGGCACTCACCGGGCAGTTCCCACTGGCTGTGTGGGACAAGGCGTGCAGACAGGGCAGRGCTGGCAGATTCTGAGCTTAAAAGTATTTTGGAGAGGAAAGAAAAGTTGCAAGCAGCAGGTGAAGCACCAGCTGCAGTGTCTCACTGTATTGAGGCTGGCTCTGGACAAAGCACAGCACGGGTAGGGATGAGCAATATTCCCACATTGAGCTGTCTGAGCTTTGGAAGAGCCTTTGTAGGGGATTGTGTGCATTTTAATAGACAGCCAAATGCACTCTGTTATTATTTACAACTCTGAATGAGTCTGCCATATGCTGAATGTGTTTTAACAGCCACCAAAGGAAGACAAGTCATTGCAGCATAAAACACAGTGCGATGTTTATCCAGCAGGCTTTTCCCTCTCACCGTGCAGAGTGAGCGCTCACAGCTGAGCTGCTGGCACTGCAGGACAGCAGGGAGGTGTAATGGCTCACCATCAATAAGGGCTCAGTTAATGTGGGAGCAGCTTCCTGACATTCCTGGAGGCYATGGAGCAGCGTGGGCTCGGTGCTCATGGCACTTGCAGCATCCTCTGCYCTGCGGAGTCCYGAGCCACCTGGATGGGATGCTCACRGAAATGCTTTTTTGGGCAAGGATGAGGGGAGTTGTGACCTTGAGCACTGACCTCTTTTTTTTTTAAAGACAATTTTTGCACTTTGAAGAGGATGCCCAAGCTAGTCTCCTGTCACCAAAAAAAAAAAAAAAAAAAAAAGAAAAAAAAAAAGTCATAATATGATAACTATAAAGAAATCTTGCTGCTTTGCTCTCTTTATTGATGTGTGGCTTTGAGACTGAGATATGTGACCTGTGTGTGGCAGCGTGGCAGGGACTGAGCAGCCAGACACATGGAAACAGCTGTTTCCCACACTGGAGGCATGTGAAGGACATCCCCCAACCTGTCTCATTCCACACAGTAACTGTTCAAAAAAACCACCCCAAAATGGCCTGTGATCTTGTCTCTGTTATTTCATCCATATTTTTCCTTTTATTGAAGACAAGCAGAGCTTAGGCTGAGCACGGCTGTGTGCTTGTGCCCCACTGATGAGGAGGTGGTGGCTGTTCGGGTGACATGAGTGATGGAGTGATGCCTTACACAGCTCCCTCTCCTAGGAATTACATCCTCCCTCACAGGGGTGACAGGAGATGATGGGCAGGGTGACCACAGCCACCTCAGCGTGGGGCAAGCAAGATGAAGCTCAGGTTTTGGCTCAGGAGGACACAGAGGTGCCAGCCAGCAGAATAAGCCCTGCACTGAAAAAAATGCCCTACGGCAGGAGCCAGCCAGTGTGTTTGAAGGTCTGTGTGAGTCATGGCTCCAAATTAATTCTGACTTAATTAGCTAAGAGCCATGGGAGGAGCACGGACTGCTCAGCATCCTCCAGTCAGAGAAAGGGCTACAGTGGCCCAGGGTGGCTACCTGGGTGGGGTGTTGAGAGTAGACCCCCAGAGCTGGGGCAGGAGCAGTTTCTTGGCACCTGTGCCCTGCATGCCTGAGARGTGGCATCTGCAATTAGCTCACACAGTCCCACAAGTCATCTTCTGGACCTTCCAGGGAGGTAATTGGAACATAATGAAGATCTATAGTAATCAGATAATTACTATCGATTGCTCTTTAGACATCTTGGTGAAGTAATTAGGTGGCACTGGAAAGAAGCTGGAACTGATTCATTGGCATAACCTTAATCTGAAAGGTTTCCTGATTTTGTTTCTTTTCCTCTAATGGCCAATAAAAGAACATAGTTTTAGCTTCAGGATCTGCCAGGTACCTTTCTTATGTGCTTGCTACCTCCCTGAACATGGACAGGAGCAGCTCAACTGAAATGGGGGCTCCTTCAGTTGGCCTGGGGCAGCATCCCAGTTTTGTGTGCTCCTGGATTCCTTGAGCATCCCCACTGTGTGAGATTGTCTTTGGCCACGTGAGACTGGTTGTTTGTTTACTTTTTTWAAATTAAATGTGACTGAGACTGGCTGTGTTGGTTTCTAATGGGGTTCCTGTAGRTGCTCTTCTTCCACGTGCTCTACATTTAGGCTGTTTGTAGGCAACATTTCACTGTGGTCTCGTTAATTGCAAGCTTATATTTATCTTTAGCTTTCAGCATCTACAGCAGACAATGTTGAGGACTCAGAAGACTGAYGTGCTGTCCTGATGAAACCTGACCACATTCTTGTTTCTATTCCAATACTGCAGGAGGTSCTCCAGCTTGAGCAGCAGATGGGTGGGCAGCTTTTGGAGGAGCCCAAAGCTTTGCATTTTAAGGGAAGCACCCACAACCTCCGCCTGTCCATCCATGACATTGCCCATTCTCTCTGGAAGAGCAAGCTGCTGGCTAAATACCAGGTGAGCACAGTAAAACATTCCCATTGGATGCCAGCAGTSAGGCTTAAAGAAATACTGTCACACACAGGTGTGTTTAAAAAGCACCAGGATCCAGGGCATTTTTTCCCTGGATCATTTGCCATCCCATGAGCATGGAGCCTCCAGTCTCAGGTCATATGGCATCCATGCCTTGGGTCCACATCCCTCCCTGACTACCCTTTTTTTACTTTTTTTCCTGCAGGAGATTCCCTTCTACCACATCTGGAGTGGATGTCAGAGGAACCTGCACTGCACCTTCACGCTGGAAAGGTTCAGTCTGAACACCCAGGAGCTGGTGTGCAAACTCTGTGTGCGGCAGGTTGAAGGAGAAGGACAGATTTTCCAACTCAACTGCTCTGTCTCAGAGGTAAACGACATTTCTGAACTCTTCTATCCGGCTGCAAGAACGTGGGAAGACTAAGGCAGTACAACCTTTCCCATTGCTACCACTTCAGTGCTCCCCAGTCTTCTGACTGCYGGTATGGGCATAAAGAATGGGCCAAGTTGTTGCTTTGTATCTCCTGTTGCATTTCCCTTAGTTTCTCTCATCTTCAAGGGTGGGARGAGAGCAGCTTTGGTCTCTCTATCAGCGCTGCCTTTCTGTGTCTGTGCAGAGGAGCTCTTTGCCAACCCCTCCCTAACACATCCCATGAAGCTCTCATGGTCCTGTCCCCTTGGCAGTCCAGGAGACCCATCATGCCTGACAATTCCTTGGAGAGAGAGAAAAGAGAACAGGAAATKTCTATGCTGTGTGTTCTGTGAGCCACTCCGCTCTGGTCCCACCTAATAGGGAGCATCAAATGGTCTGGTTTCAGTGAACTTTCCTCCTCATATTTGGCTGTTGTCTTTGGCAATTTTCCTTTTGATGGCTGACATTTCCCAGTAGAAATATTGTTTTGGGAACATGTTTGCTAGTGCTTTGTAGCACGTGGAGAATTTTTGCTCCTTGGGGCAGTTAAGCTTGGGGCTGAGACAGAGAAGCACATCCAGGTGTGAAGAGACATTGACTCCTGTGAGTGTWCTGGTGGGTTTTACACCTGGTACCCTTGGGGAAGGGGTGCAAGAGCAGAGACAGAAGTTCCTGGTGCTGCAGGGCTCTGAGAGTGAGCACCATTACCCAAACATCTGCTTGGTTAGTGGGTGTAAAGTTACAGATTCATCTGGGGACTACACGGCATTAAGGACAGATGGTAAAACAAGCATCATAAACAATTATTGTAATAAGTGCTGCATTGAGGTAATCACTAATTTAACCTCACAGAGAAGAGAAAGAACTGAAAGTAACTTTAATGAAATGCAAGAATACACTATAATCATCTTCAGCTGGTTGTGGGTAATAGGGCCTGGTAATAGATTCAGAGGCAAGGGGATAATATTCTTGCCTTGTGCTGTGATCCTATCCATCAAGGATGAATAGAGGGAGTGAATAATACCATTGCCATCAAGGCTGCCTCCTGAAAAATTGCCCYTTGCTCTTGACTCCTTGTCATATTCCCAAACTTCAGCAAGGAACAAGAGGACCTTGGGCTGCTAAAAGCTGGAATATAGGGTCAGCTAGGGAAAAATCCTGTAAGTCAGAGATTTGATGATAAGTCACCTGAAAGGATGATAACTGCAACTTGAAAACCAAAGTGTGCCTCTAGAAGCCTGATAAAGACATTAGACCAGGCATGAGGAAACTGCAGTTCTGGTTTCTCACATTTCCTTCTGAGGTAAGGCTGGTGGGACTCAGCTCACAGTCAGGCACTGCAGGACTGTGCTGGCATCTTTCTTTATTGCTGGATCTGCCTCTCTGTCCCCCTGCAATAAAAATACAGTAACACAGTTTCCTGCATCCTCCCCTTGTGGGCTTTCTTTTTAGTCCCCTGCAAAGGACATAAAACTTCTGCAGATTAAACTGTCTTATTCCAGCTTTATACAGTGTCTTCCACTGGGACTTCAAAAACACAGATGCAGTGAGTGCCAAAACATGCAGATTTGCAAAGCAGGAGGAAAATCGTGATAAAGATCTCCCATGATCGATTTTTGAAGTATTTTTTTAATCTTGTGCTGTTGATACTCAGACAAAAGAGCCACAGGGAATGTAACAGGYACCTGACCCCCTTCTGCAGCAATCCTGGGGCTTCAGGTCACCTTGAGAGCCAGGGTAGCTTTTGTATCCTTTGGTCCAGAATATTAAGAAAAGGTTTTCTGTCTGTGATGCCACTAYCACCACCCTCCTGCCACTTCCTGCCTCCCAATGCAGGTGAGCCTGAGGCAGCACCAGTGTCAGGAACATCATTTTCCTGGCTCCTGGGCAGTGCCTGCTGCCAGGTTGTTGGGCAGAGGGGTTGGGGAAGACAGTCTGTGGTGCAGGGCCTTGGCACCCAAGCACAGATGCCGCATTCAACGTGTTAATTCAGGACATTACTGTGTGGCATAAAACTTCCTCTATTAGAGACTTCACTGATTGCCTAGAATGCCATGTGTTAAGAAAAGAAAAATGCAAAAAAAATTCGTATTTATACACTGGAAGAGAATTAATTGGTACAGATAAAGGAGTGGAGGCAAAGGGTTTAATTCTGTGCATTACTCATAGATACTGGCACTCCCGTTTCCATCTTTGAATACACTTTGGGAGGGTAAACCAGAGACTAAAACCAGGACAATGAGCATCACCAGCAAACTCCTTGTGGGGCTTGTGATGGCAGCTTAAGCCTGGAGCTGCCTGGGTTTGAGACAGTCTCAGATATCACAGCTCCTCCCCAGCAGCCAGTTTGACACAAAGCAACCASACAGTTCACAGAGGAGAAAACAAATCGACATTTAATGACAAATCTTTAGCACTGGTGTTTCTGGCTGCCTGGGGCTGTGACCTGGCAGAGGAGGAGGAGAAGCAGCTCCCCCATTTCTACTAGAGAAGAAGACCAAATATTTCTGTTTTGCAGCTGACTGACATAAACTCCAGATTAGCAGAGGGCTGCAAGTAGAAGCACTGAGTCTCCAAGGATATGGTTCTACAATTGTCTCTGTACTCAGTAACAAAACTGATGGGGTTTTTATGCTATTTTTTTTTTCTGTTTTTCTAACCTCAGGAACCTACTGGCATCGATTATCCTGCCATGGACTCCGCAGGCACCATCACCACCATCGTGGGGCCCAGTGCATTCAGCATCCCGCTGCCCATCAGGCAGAAGCTGTGCAGCAGCCTGGACGCTCCCCAGACCAGAGGCCAYGACTGGCGGATGCTGGCCCACAAGCTGAAACTGGACAGGTGAGCAGGGCTGCCTGAGAGTGGCCAGGCTGGGAAGAGTCTGGGGGGAGGAGTGTGCAGAAACATCCTGGTGAAAGTCCCACTGAGAGCAGATGTACAGACTGGTCAGGCTGGCTGCACAGGGGATGAGCACCTTGGCACCACCAGCAATAGGGATGGCTTGAAATTAYATGAATTCACGTAGTTTTCGTGCAGCTCAAAAAAAAACCTAGTCTCCTTTTGGCTCGTTGCAGATACTTAAATTATTTTGCGACGAAATCAAGCCCCACYGGGGTGATCCTGGATCTCTGGGAAGCCCAGAACTTCCCTGATGGCAACCTGAGCATGCTGGCGGCAGTTCTGGAGGAAATGGGAAGACACGAGACGGTTGTTTCTTTGGCAGCAGAAGGGAATTACTGACGCAGCCTTGGCATGAGGAAGGACAGACGCGGGCAGCGGTGACGCCTGCTATTGCAAACGAGAATTGAAATGAAAACCCAGACCAATGAGATACTCAAGAGACATTTCAGAGAAGAAAGCAAGCAAGCAAACAAACACAAAACAAAACCAATCAGCCCTGACCTTCACACGTGCTCTCCTTGTACATTATCACAGGATCAGAAAGAAATCACGCAAAGTTGTACCTTGAAAATATAAATCAACCTAATGTTCCTCTCGGCTTGGCTGTACACTGCTTGGTACAGGTTTTTACAGTTTCCTAGGAAACGCTTTTTATTGCTATCCAGATATATGGATAAACTTTCTTAACAATCCCGATTTCTATGGATGTTGTTTACATCAGATTCTGGACAGGGGTAAGGAGACTGTCCATGGCTCTTTATATTTTTTGTTTAAAGCCATTCTAGACAAGGCTGTGGACAGTTGGTTGTGGCTATTTCAGCTTATTGGTTTCTGGTGAATTGAGATTTTGGCTACAATTCTGCACGTTGGTTGTCTCACAGTGATCCTCCTGTCATTGTTCTGTTTCCTAGACCTACTTGTAAAAAAAGAAACAAACCAAGAAAATCAGGGTGTGCATCTGGAAAGCAGGTACTCTGGCTGATAAGCAGGAACACACAAAATGTTCCCTTTCTTCCCCGAGACAGTTCCCATGAGCCTTTGTGGAGAATAACTCTACGCCAGTGGGGAATGAAGGATCTGAGTCAATTTTCAATTCACACCCTTTCTACCCCTTTGCTGTATGAGGGGCCAGATATGCAATTCAGAGTGGTTGGAGGGGAGGGGGAGAAACCCAGAAAAAATATAAAAGAGAAGTTGCTATGGTAGTTACTGATTAGTGTCTAGTGCAAGGATTATAATGACTATTATTATTGCCATTATTACTTTATTTCTAATTTTGTCAGCAGCAGAATGAGTAATTTCTGGTTTTATGGAACCTGTTGTCCCCTCCCTGAAGGTCTGTTAGCTCCCCAGAGAGCTGCAGGTCTCACTGAAACCCTCCACCTGCAGTAATGTTGGCCACGGCCAGGGCTACTGACAGCCCAGCCCTCTGCTGGGTCTCTTCTGTGTGACATCTGCACTTGGTGGCTCTCCAAAGATATTCCCAGACTTTGATGCTGCCAGGGAAGCCTGTGTGGTGTGGGCCAGTGTGAGGCAGTGGAGTGGGGAAGCTGAAACCCCGTGAGCCACAGTTTGCTGCCTTTGCTGCTCCTGCCACCACCTGCCTCACTGGCTGGCCAGGGAACACTCGTCCCTCTACTGCCAYGTTCCTCTTGGCCACCATCAAACAGGCGAGGTGGGAGCTTTGCAAAAGGAGCAAATTAAAATGCATTACTTCAAACGTGTTTTATGTTCTGCTCAGTGCAGATTCTGATTTTTCTGCACATGGCAGTGCACAGGACACACTGCAGTGGTCTCACTGCCTGACTTGCCTGTCCTCTGCACAGAAAGGCTTTCTTCCCTGAGCTGTCCACTCCAGCCAGGCCCTGTCAGTGCTGCTGTGTGCACACCCCTGCCCACGTGTGCATTACCATTCCACACGCTCCCTGACACCCGAGTTCGCTTCTTCCCTTTTGTTGTTTTGGTTTTGCTTTCCCCAAGGCTCTCCAGATCGTGCCTTTGAAGGCAACTTTTGAAAATGTCATTGGTCGAAATGAAAAGAAAATTCCATCTGACCTTTTTTCTCCATTTGACATTTCCATAGGCTTGGCACCTTTTTCCTTTTAATTTCTCAACTCCCTGACCAGTGAGTAAGGCTTTGACTGACTGCCGGGCAGCAAGAGCAAAAAGGTTCCCTTCCTTTGTAAGGGGGCAGTTTGCAAACCAGCATTTCAGYGCAAACTGGAGAGAAGAGGACAGGCTTTGTAACTTTCAACATCTGTGTGCATTTTTCTTGTGTAAGCCCCACCTTCTCTTAAAAGTAGAAATGCCAAGGGCACCCCTTCAGCAGCCTTCATCTTCTCTTTCACTTGGGCCATCAGATGAAGCCCACCACTSTGCTCATCGAAATTTTGCTTTCAGCTTCAGGAGGTTTGGACTGCAGCTTCCAGCTCTGCCCTTTCTCCACAGCTTTTAGTCACTAAGAGCACTAAAATGTCTCTTTAATACAAGTCTCTGCTTTTGTCCCTCCCGTGCCATCTTCAGGTGTAATGAGTTGTATTCAGTTTGTGCTTCTTCACCTCTCCCATGTGTCATTCCTGTTTGACACCCCTTCCAGGGCGGGTGCAGGAGTTGAGCTGTCCTTCAGCCCTTTGGCCTTTYTGTGTTGGCTGATCCCCAGGCTCGCTGGTGCTCCCCAGCTCCCAGCTTTCCCAGGGGGGCTCCTGTGTACTCTTGTCACCAGGATCAGGGTCCCAGCAGAACCTGGGAGGTCTGGCAGGGCAAGGACAAGCAGGAGAAAGTTCCTCCAGAGCCACAGCTCACCCCAGCAGCTCCCCTGCGTTAATTTTGTTCCGTTTTCTCTTTTTCTGTGGGGAATGGCAGTGGCAGGGTGGGCACTGCGGGAAAGGGCTCAGGCTGGTGGCATCCAGCACTCAGCATCCCCATCCTGCTGCCCCGAGGAGAGAGAGCGGGAAGCACGGGCAGCCAGATGGGCTCAGGATGTTATTTTTGGTGGGAGAAAGCCCAGCAGCAGTCCCTCCTCCGCCTGGATTGCATGGACACAGTGCCATCTCGTGGGGCTGAGCCCCGGCTCCACCGTGCGGCGAAATGCTTCCTGTGGGGTGGCTGTGACAAAGGCGTTGGGCAGGCAGAAGTGACTCTTAGAACTTGTAACATTTTWTGTCAGGTAAGCGCATCTGCTTCGAGAGAAAAAGAAAAGGCTGCAGGCTTCTTATCCTCAATTACAATTTTTTAAGAAGCTTTTCCTTTTAGTTGCTCACCTTTGGCTCTGTACTGGAGCAGCWTTGCTGCTCTTCACATCATCTCTTCATTACATATTGGTCGCTAGCGCTATAAATAGTATATATATTATATAAATATATATAAAATATCTACTGACTTCAAGGAAAACCGTTCATTTCCGAGTAAGAAACATTTATTGGAGGCAGTCCTTTTCACCTTATTTGTTTTTCTTCAGTTCTTTCTTGTGTTGTGTTCTCGTAAAGGTGACTGTCAGTGTATAGGGTAAGTTTGGGGTTTGGTTGGGTTTTTTTCTTTTTTAAATTTATATCATACCTGATCCACTGTGTCTCGCTAAACAGCACAAGACCTAAGTGCTGTTCTAGTGGATCTTGAAAATTTTGCAGCAGTGAAGGTCTCTCCAGCCAAGATTTGCTTTAATGGGAGACCAAGATTTTTTTTTTTTTCTGTCTCGCTGGCAGAAATGCAGACACTCGTGAGACATGTTGGAGTCTGCCATACCCACAGAGCAAAACAYGTCTGTTCCTTGGGTTCCTCGCTATTTCTGTTGCTTACATATAGAATAAATGTATTTACATGCTGTAAGCCCATCATTGTGGACAGTGTCCTAATGTCTTGTATTGCTACCTACAATAGTTTCTTTTTTGTTCTCCTTTTTCTTCTTTTTTGGGGGGCAGAGGGCATGGGGAAGGGAGGGGTGGGGGGCCCTTAAACCATTGTATGCTCCACCAAGTAGTTACCACAGCTCTGGGGTTAATTTTAAACATGATGKTACTGTTGAGGTTGGCTTGATGGATTTTTTGTTTTAATCTCATGTCCAGTGCACTTTGTAAACAATCCTGCTGAGTGTTCAGAAGTCTTTTCAGGTGTTACCTTGGCTCTCATCTGGCCATGAATTAACTCACTGTTTGCAGGCTTGCTTGGTATCAGGTGGTTTGTGAATGGAAAACAAACCTTTGTTCCTTCTCCCACAAGGASTCCAATGAGTTATGATTTTGGGTCACCACTGTAATCCATTCCTAGCTTGTGTGGGAAGCCTTAAGGTGATAAAACAAGTTGCACTGCAGACTTTTAAATGCTGAAGCCTGTATGACAGACATCCTTTGAAGTGGGACTTGAACAGAAATGTGGAGTAAGTGTAAGAGTGTACACACAGACAAAGAGGAGAAAACAGAACACTACTCACGAAAGCTTTAGCTCTCATGTTAGCTATGGGCATCCTCTCATTTTACCAACTTTTGCATGGGAAGGTAAAGGTCAAAACTCAGTGTTGTACCACCACTGCAAGGTCAATAGGCAGTATGGCAGAAGCCAACTGACTAGCAAGTGACTGGAATTGAACTAAAGCCACAGGAATGCCCTCAAGTCTGGTAGGTCAGGCTCCTTGCTTGAATAGGAGCATTTAGTTTATTTACTTACTTGTCCTTTAAACTTGACACCTGAAATCTGAAAATCTCTTTTTCTGAAAGTCCTTTGATAAACTGCCTGTACAAAAAAAGCAACAATAACCCAGAGTTCCCACAAATTTCCATCCCAGATAGGCATTTCGCATTTTCTGTGATGCTGGTKAAATGTGTTTATTTGTGGTTCAGTCTCTTTGACAGCTCACAAAGACATAAATTGCTATATGTGCTGCACCCTGGGCCWGCCCTCTTGTCCCAAAGCATCCCAAGGCAGGAGAACCTTCAGGATGCCTTTGGGAAGCAGGATGTGAGCGGGTAGGACCCTCCTGCAGTGGTGGTGGGACAAGAGTCCTGAGATGAGAGAAAAGCTCGCACGGGCCCCAGAGCTTCWTAGGCTGCTGCCAGCTGGCTCTGGCCACTGCTTGCCAATAAATTTGGAGCTTGCACAATACAAAAAAAMCCCCAAAATTGCTCTGCAAAGTAAACAAAATTAGGAGAGCCAAAACAATCTCTTCCCCATAGAGCTTTCAAGGTACCTTGCAAAAACACCCGAGCCGAGAGCCAGTAACCTACTTTGAAGCAGGGTGTGTGACAGAGCTGAGACAGAGAAGTCATGGCATTGCTGTTGTCACACAGCCATGTGGTAGACTCTTTTTGCTAACACATCTTCTGTTATTGTTTCAAAAAAAAAAAAAAAAAAAAAAAAAAGAGGGTATCTTTCCAAAGCAAAGGAGGGCCCGTAGGAAATGAAAGATCTGTGCCACCCAGGTGTATCCCTTCTCTTCCCATGTCACAGCTCTACCAGGGTTCGTGGGTTTTGTTTTCTTTGCTATTCACATCTGGAGAACCCTTTTGGTTTTGATTTCCCTATTGCTGTATCTTCTATGCAATTCCTTTTCTAAAGACTGACTTACTACAGGAGAAGTTCTAGCCATTGCATTATTTGTATTGCTGTACAGTGGAGGTGTGGTTTACTAGTTCTGAGTGTGCCTCTTATCCCCCTCCCTTTTTCTCCTTCCCTCTGTTTGTAAATGCCTGCATTTATTCTGTCAGCCTGACATGTATAAAGTGTAAGAAAGAATTTTTAAACAGGTAATAAATTATATTTATAAGCAACTGGAAAAAAATACACTACTACCTTGTGTTCAATTGTTTAGTTCCTGGAAGCTTGGAGTCTTTTGTTTCTTTTTTTAAAAAAAGAGAAAAATCTCAAATGTTTCTGCACGTAAAGAACTGTGGGATTCAGTGGCATGCCTGGGACAATGTGCAGCAAGCACAGGGCTGTGTCACCTAGATGTGGGCAGGTCAAGGGGCTGTGGAAATGCTGCTGGAGAATATCTGCAATGCCATGGACACAGTCTGGGGCAAAGCAGGAGGGCTGCAGGGGCTGTGCAGCTCAAGGGAAAATCAACATTTACACACCTCTCTGAAAATAACCAGCAGGGCAATAAAAGGTTAGGGAGCACGGAGCTGAATCTGCAACACAGCACTGCAGAATGAGAAGAGTGCTCCAGCTTTGAGCACAAACTCACAGAAATACCTCCCCAGATGTAGAGGTGCACAGCCCGTGTCTCTCAGCATTAAATGATGCCACATTTCAGCTGATGCTGTGTATTTAGGATGGAACTTTTTCACCCGATGGATGGGGCTGGGAATTCCAGCTTCAGCCTGTGCACAGATGACCCCTGTGGCTCTTGTGCTACTAAAAACAGTAGTCAAGAATATTCATAAATATGTGGCAGGATGAAGGGGAGGGTGTGTCTCAAAAAATATTATGCTAATGCCAAATTTCTATAGATTTACATAATCAGCCACAAAGCGCAAGCGACTGCTCTATTAGTGATAACACTATTTTAATTACTATTTTTCTCTTCACTGAGTTGTGAAARGAGTGMTGCYTTTTTATGCCAGTGGAAACATATGCAACATATTGGTGTTTACTTGTTTGCTCAGAGGAAAAAAAAGCTTATAAAAATAAAATAAATAAATAAAATGAGGCACAGACAAAATAATCTAGTGAGGGAAATGAAACGCAAAGATGGTGCTTTTCAAGCATATGGAAAGGAAACAGCAAACTCTGTCATGGGGAGGTGGAAACAATTTTATTGGGGGGAATGTTAAGACAACCATATACAATTTGAACAAATACAACGTAACACAGTTTGTTCCCCAACTTTTCTAATWACAGTATTTACAGGTTTAATAAGGCACTGGTTCTCAAAAAAGAACACAAATTAGTTTCTTAGTCTCTACATTGACAACCTTTTCTTTAATAGAAATAACCTTGTGCTAGAGAAAGGATAGCAGTTGTTAGGTGGCATCTCTCTTTATTTTCTTCTTCTCCCACTTACGTATGCCATCACACCTCTGCCAGTAAGAAACTAAACTACACTTCCTTGAAGRATTGACATTTGGAAGGTGGATTTCTAGATCCAAGCCCTCATCAATGTGCCCTTTGAAACTACCAAAATRTGGAAGTGACATTAAAAGGCCACACCTGGCAAAAGAACCATAACTAACCTGTAGTCACTGCAGGTGCTGAAACCTTAATAATGACACGCTGAGTGTTACAGAAAGTCACCCATGCAGGCAGTAACTTGAATGTCACAGTGCTGGAACAACAAAGACCTCCACAGTTGCCTTAGGCTGTTTTTTTGGCCTTAGGAATAGCCCTTCACAATAGCATCGATTACAGTGGGTGGGAGATTTGAGGGCAAAATCTGGTCTTGGGAGAAAATAGGCAGGCACTAGTTACACAACTGCAGATTGTTTGCTCTCTCAGTGTGTGTCTCCTCTCATATATATATATATTTATATATTTTCCTATACAGCACCGTTGCAGTGATTTGTCATTTATGCATTTTCATAAATAAATACTATGTTTTCTTTAGTGCTTTTTCATCCATAATAGTTTACTCTTAATCCACATACTGGAGCTATTCCAAACTCGCAACTGAATATATATATATTTTATACATATATATATATATAAACACATAAACTTGAACATTTAACATACACACTTTATGTAATTTATCAACCAGTATCTTAGATGCTTTTCTTTTGGACCAAAAAAAGGTAAGRTTTGCTCAGGAAACCAGT